ATACTATAGGGCAGTCCTCTTGACCTCGTTGATGATTGTTCCCACTGCAATTAATGCAATTTGATAAGGATCTAGGCATGGATCAGTCACTATGAAAATGGCTTACCAACAATGACCATACTTTTCATTCTCGCACATCTAGATGCTGGTGTCCCAAATCGTAAACATTGAAAACACTGCATTGGTTGAGGAATGAAACATCGTCGGTTAGACGATGAATGCCTGCTTTAATCTTCTCTGGTAGACGTAAAACGCTTGAAACGTTAGCATGGGGACGCTGAGGAATTATAATGTCCAGTCTGCGCCTCATTGTTAGCCTACGACAGGCAACTGACTCCTTGAGAAGCTAGTTCTTGAAAGCTATTTCCTCTTCAACTGCAGTTTTAGTAAGTCACTGCAAACTACAACACTTTGCAAGGTATTCAGTGTGCCGTGAGCACTTACTTCAACATTAATAGGCCTTTTTTTCAATTCTCGTAATTTTTTACCTTGATTGTCATTATACTGTTTCTACAAGAGTCAGTGAAGTTTTCTGTATGTCTTTTACGGCAGATCAGCGCAGGTGCTTAATACTCTCTCATTATAAACGGGCTCACTTTATCGAAATTCCTTCAGTTCTTTTTACTGTCAGAGTACTTAGTACTGCTGCGAGTGTCTTGAACAGGTCATCATAGTTTGTTGATTTATCCAACTTCAATTCTGTTTTGGCATTGAACTCCGGGCTTTTTTCTGGACGAGGGTTTTTAAGGTTCGCCTCAACCCTAGTTTGCAGGACTTCCATACAGCTCCCGCGAAGCTTAGCTATCACTGCGTACAACTATCCTGCCAGTAGGTGCCGAGTGGATCCGCCCCTGGCATTGCAGTCGCACTGGGTGACGACGCCGGTGGGCCTGCTTGCGCACCACCGACCGCCGGTACTGGGGCTCCGATCCCGCTGCACGGTAACTGTCGATCCTGACAGATCCTCCATCTTGGGTTTTTTTCTTCAAGGGTCACCTTCCCTAGCGTTTTTTAGCTACCGCCAGCTTAAGGAATGGAAGGAACAAGGGGGGACAGAGAAGACAGAGTAGAACATAGAAGGGTAGAATGGAAACGACTCCCTAGCCCCTCGCAACCTAATAGCGTCGGGGCGGAAACATAACAAGAGTTGGCCGATACAAGATTTGGCCTACAGGACAGAAAACAGAATGTGTGCCACAGTAAGTGGAAGTCAATGACACACAGAGTTTGTGGAATGAACGGATGTTTAGGGGCGTGAACAGCGGACAGCTGCTCCGATTAGTCGCCTTCCTACGACAGGGGGAGGTCCGTGGTGCTATTCTACCTAAAATCCCGACACCAACGGGGAAATTATTAATTATTAATTATTATTATTATTATTATAATTATTATTAATTATTATTATATTATTTTGTTAGTTTGAAAGGCTTAGCATCTAAGGCCTTTAGCCTATTTTACTGATCGATGTTACATGATTCAATCATATATTAAATCTAAATTTTGGAAGAAAAGTTTGGCTTCTTTCAAGAACTGTATTGTTTTGTCATTGCTGTCTTGTAGGTGCCTTTATTTTTATTATTATTATTATTATTATTATTAATTATTATTATTATTATTATTATTATTATTATCATCATCATCATCATTATTATTATGTATAACGGAGTTCTTATATTTCTTTCTCTTCAAACATTATATTTCTCTGCAAAGAAAGCAAATGACCAGACGAATGTCAGAAAACTCTTCGGGGATTCCAGCCCAGACCAAGGCAAGATAAAGAAACGTTTATTCAAGAATAAAAGCGAAGAAGTGGAAGAACATAACAACAAATGGAGATCTTAATAAATTTTCCTGGTCATCCGAAATATGACCACGGAGCATAAACCAACAATGGCGAATGTTAAGAATGAGAACGACAAAATAAATACAACAAAAGAAGAGATCACGAAAAGATGGGAGGAATACACGAAGAAGTTATATGATAATGACTTACAAATAGAGTAGTGGATAAATATAGATGATTACGAATAAGAACCTGAGATCAAAGAAATGAATTGGGCGACAAAAAACTGAAAAAAAAAAATTTTTTTCCCCCCCAGAAAATTTGTTAATATAAAGTACTTATTCAGTCTGTACATTGCTTTAGTTGGCTATGATGACAAACATAGAGAAAATTTTAGAAGAAGATTGGAAAGTATAAGTTAGGCAGGATGTTTCAGGGATTTCTGTCATAGTAAATATTCAGGATGACTCTGATGATGATTAACGTTCCTCATGCTGTTCCCATGCCTGGGCTCTGGTGTCTCTACTTAAGAGAGATATGGTCAGTACCTTTACATGTTTAATGCAGTATATTTCATAGGTTTGGAAAAAAGATTTGACATATCTCCTGTTCTTCTCAGATGCAGAATTAAAAGTTTGCATTATTCCATAAAGGGCAAGTAAGTGGTTACATTCCACGTGAAAATGTGAATCTTTATTGTTTTTAAGCTGATCTAGGCTTACTGAAATAAATGCTCCTTTGCTTGCTTCCCAGAAGTAATGTAGCTTTTTGTCCTCCGTATGGGTATGTGTTTTTTTAAAGTGTACTTCTCAGAAAATATAACTAGACACTTCATTATGTCTGCGCATGTTAACTTCCTTTGTAAATTCTTTTTGGTAATTATTGTAAAATTTTAATTTTTTTATTAAAAGAAAGAAGTTTTTCAGTTATATGAAGTTAATTTTTTATATATATGAATCAGGTATGTAAAATGATTTGTGTCTGAAAGTATGTGAAGTAAAGGTTTGATAGTGAATGAATGGGTTGAAAATATATTTTAATAACATTCATTTATACTCATCAAAAATTAACTTCAAGTAATAAAAAAAATAGTTATTTTAATAAAAAAGAATTAGAAATACATATTTAATGAAAAGAAAAGTTTTATCTTTTGAGCAGTATGTTAGTTTCTGTATTGTATATCTTAATGCAACACATTAAAATTATCAAAATCAGCTGTTAGGTGTGCTTTGATAACCAATAAAGTGTTGTCATATAAGAAGATACAAATTGTTCATTGTTTTATCCTCTCTGTAAAACTTCAAATGTATAATTTTTATTTCAAAATTTTTACTCCTCACCCTGGCAAATGTGGTAGGCTAAAACTAGAGATGTTAATAGTAGGTAATGAATATTTTCTAAAAGTACTTAGGAAACACATTTTGATTTTGTATTGTTTGACTTTAAATTATCTAAGTCGATAAAATTTATTGAACTTCAAATGGATTTGGTGGAAATGTATCCTTCAAATAAATATGCAAATAAAGGGAATTATTTTTTCACTTATACGTTTGCTTTTTTATGTTACCTTTCACCTAATTTCTAATTGACTTTAATATTATGTAATAAAGTTACTGAAGGAATGAAACATTTCAATTTTCATTTCTAAGGCTAAAACTTGCACTGTGATCATGAAAAACCATCTCTCATTAATTTGAATACATTATTAAATATCCTTTGAATGACAGGTGAGTACAATAATTCATAGCACTCTTTAACCCATTTTTTATCTTACTTTTAAGAACCAACTTGATTTCCATATTTAAGAAATGAACCTGAAGTTACTGATCAATTGAATTAACTGAGAATTCTGCCAAACAGCACTCCAGAATATGTACTAACTTGTACCCTTTTCCCCATAGAAATCTATGAATGTGGTGTGAAAATTTTCCAAGATTGGACAATCAGGAGAAGCCTGAATTATAAAAGAAATAGCAAATTTAATGTAGGTTTTATGTTAATTAATAACATGTCTAACAAATCTCAATTAAGCCTTGTTTTACCAGTCCAATCACTGAACAAAATTAATAGTAATTTAAGTATTAATACTTACTATTATCGTCATTTTAGTATTAATTACATATGAATTCACAATTAACTAACCATATCTGTAAGTCACTGATCAATAATTGATACACTGGCTGTCAGTCATAAGATTAGCAACGTGAAAATGAAATCGCAATTATAAACACCAGATATAACAACAAAACATTATACAGAGCACATTAATTTGAATCATCTGAACACGCAAGATCGAAAAGTACCGGCAGAATTCTGATAGTTTTTACAAGGTCTACGTGGGAGCTTTGCAGTATATTCCATTTCATTCTCGTAGCTGATGGCTTAATTCAATCAATCACACATGTTCTCAACAGTATTTCGAAATGTTTAGAATCACTTAGTATAATTTTTCATCATTAATGATACGGAATTAAATGAATCTCTCGTGAAAACTGTTTCTAACCTCCACACGATCAAAGTTACATTTAACAACAAAATTCAGTCAACTGTTTGCCAGCTGTTAATGCTACTCACGCCACATTCCGCCACATTGCTGTCCAGTGTCCAGTCCTTGAAAGAACTGGAAAGAACGAACTATTTGCTTTGTTTCTGCAAATCCCCAAACTAATATTATACTCAGCTGACTGGCGAAACAATATTTAGCGGAGAGCGATGCACTCTTAGGCAACGCTTATCTGTTATAGAAGCTGTCATTATAATCACAATATATTACTGTGATCACTGTGTTATAATCGTTTACTGCCCTGAACGCTTTGTATAGACGACTTCGCTTGGATCATAGTGGAATAGATGAATATTAATATAATAATAATAATAATAATAATAATAATAATAATAATAATAATAATAATAATAATAATAATAATTGTTAATCAATGGCCATATGTGTGGGCTATTCGGCAGTTCGGGCCATACTCTTTGGTTCGGGCTACAATCGCTACAATACCACTGCCAATTGAAGTTTTCAACCTACTCAGAAAAGCCGAAAAGAAAAAGAATAACACTGAATAGAAACATAAAAACTCCTCAGAACCATGACCAACATAAATAGTTGGTAATGACAACGTTTTATTGGTTAGGAACAACTGACACTTATGATAATCGAACACAGTTGGCAATACTGAAGCGGGGGAAGCCCTGGGGAAGCCCCTCTCTCCAGACGATAAGGAGAGTCGGAATGTGGGCGGGATGCGGATGTGGGTGGCTGTGGCGCTGAGTGGCGAAGAAGGAAAGTACTTTGGTACTTTGTGTGAGATTGACGAACGTTATAGGAAATAAAGCCTCGCTGTAGCTGCAGTTCCATGCACCTATGAGGACAAGGTATTTATGTAATAGTAGTAGTAACTATGTCGTATTGAATAGTTGTAATAGAATACGGAAGGGGGAGTTATGTAAAAAGCAGGCTTATAAGCAATAAGTACGCACTTCGAGAGTCGCCCTGCTCTATAGGGAGCCCCAATAATTTTTTTGCGTATTACATAAGTTAATTACTCCGTACAAATTTTAAATTGCTTTAATTGTAAAGGTTTATTTACATACCGTTAGAGGATGTGGCATTACTTTCTCCCCATCCAAAAAGGACCTGAAGTATGCATGCTACGAGGTAATTGCTTCTGATTTCCTTAGCACTGGTGATTCTAACAGACCAGATGGTGTATGCAGGGCCGGATTTACCTACAAGCAAAACAAGCTGTTGCTTGGGGGTCCCCATTCACAAGGGGCCCCGCGTTTAGGAAAAATACGCATACCATATTTTTGTGTCTGTGAAATATATTGTTAAATCAAGTTAGTCTACTGTGTAACAAAATGTACAACTGTTACAAGAAAATTTAGTAGACCTAAGTAAACCTGAGTATGGAACATGATAAGCTGAGAAAGAAATCTTTGTTTAGAAAGACATCATCAACCAATTTTCTGCAAGTGAAGAGCAGAAAAAAAAATTATGTAAAATGTATTTAATGTAACAAAAATGTAACACAAGTAAAAAATATGTCTATAAAAAATATCAGTTTTCATTTGTATCTGTCTACAGAAAGTACTTGTACTATAATACATTTTATTATTTAATAAAGATGGAGCTATATTTTCGGGGGGGGGCGACACAATTTTGTGCTTGGGGCCCCGCACTACTTAAAGCCGGCCCTGGCTGTATGAACCTGAAGCAATAATCTGGTGGCACATATGTTCCAGTATTTTTTCCATTTTGGGACAATGAAAGCACAACACAATAGTAACCTGTCTTTACAACACCATTTATTTCATTTAAAATGTTAAATATTTTTATTTGGATTACGGGACTTTAAAAAGTTTGGTTTTACAGTTTGTGCTTAAAGACCCTAAAAAGATCTGATCCTGATATTGTTGCATCAAAACAGTACAGTACCAGTATATTACACTTATGTGTAATAGCAAATACACCAATTGAGTGTTCAGTTAATTTTCTAGTGTTAACATTAAAAAATTATTGTATCCCGTGTATTCACTTAATGTTTCCTTTAATTTTTATTTCAGACATACAGTGAAATGCCAGAATATAACATAATGCCTGCCAAATGCTGTTGTTGTAGCTTGCAAACAGCCTCTATTGTTGTGGGAATTTTTTCTCTGGTAAGGTTAATGTTTTTCTATCTTTTGGATTTAATTTGAACAACAGAATTTAATTTTGCATGTTCATTGTTCAAGAAATACAATGGTAGTGCAATATTGAAATATCTTTTTTAGTAAAAGATGCAACTTTTTCATATTTCTTCACAAAGGTTGACATTTGTATTGATAAAGGAGATAAGTGGAAACCCAAAAAAAGTCATATCATGTAAGGTTTTGGAGTTGATATGAAATAGTTTTCTTTACAGTAGTTGTCTAGTCTGTATTCTGTAGGTTCTGTAGTCTTACCTTAAGGATAAAAATACAACATCTTTGTATTTAATTATATTTGTATTTGAAGATTTTAAACATGTGTTTGTGATGGCCCAGATGTCAGTGGTTAGAATATGGAGCTAGGAATACAGGGAGATGGAGTGAAATTGCAAATGAGAAACCAATGGAAGCAACAGAGTGCCATATCAAAATTCTGATACATGTTGTGTTAAGGTGTATTTTCTGACATATATTTAATATTTAAAAGCATTGATCAGTTTACCCATCTTTTGGTCTCATTCATATGGCATGAGAAACAGATTAAATCTTTTAATATTGAATGTTGTTGAGTGTGCAGTTATTGGATTGTATTGGTTGTAGTTCAGTCAGATGAATGTCGATTAAACTGAGGGTTTAAAAATCGGTGAATTTACGTTTACATTATTTGAGAGTTAAGGATTTCACTCTCTGCAGAAAAATGATACCAATGATCCTTAATCCTAATGAGTAAAACAAATATGTTTTTATGGATTCTTAGAAGAATTGTCTTGGCACAGTCTGCACTGATGCCCTTGTAGGCAATTTTTCAGTGCTTGGGGAAGTTTTGTTTTTCTGTGTTCCATTTTTCTAAAATGTAGATATCACTGAGTAAGAAAGGTGAACAAACAGTTCTCCAGTACTCCAGTATTGGTCTGACTTCGGTTTTTAAAATTTGACAAAAAAGTGTAGGAAGCATATTGCTGAACAATTCTGTGACTATAAATTCAGTTATTGGTTTTCTTGGCTGTGATATGGGCGTGAACTCTCTCTTGGGAACAAAGAAAATGTGAATACTCACATCAAATAGTGAATTCACTGTATGTAAAATAATGTGTAGAGAGTACTAGTTCCTACATGGGTGTGTTTGGGTTAGTTGTCAAGAACCATTCCGTGGATCAATGTGGATTCACCATTCAGAGATCTGAGTGGAGTTCCATGAGCCAGAGGATGGCCATAGTAGGCATACTGAACATCATTTGTGAACTATTGGGGGCTACCTTCAAATTGTAAAGATCAATTAGGTACAGAATACAAAGAAATCCTAAAACTTATCCCTGCAGTTCCCCACTACACACCTCTTAGTGGAAGTTAAGTGAGTGAGTGGGAGTTAAGCTGTGTAAATTTTCTTTTCCTAAAAAGGATCTGAACCTATTATTCCCTATTGGAATCTATTATTCTAAGATGTTGTAGATAATTCTTGAGACCCCTCAAAAGCTTTTTGGATATTATAGTAAATTATGTTAGTCGATATCACATTTGAATGATTTGGTCCAGTGTCTAATACTGTCAAGATGTTTCGCTGATCTCTTTGGGACCATGCTGATGTTGTTGGGCGATATGATCATCACAGAAGTTAATAATACATTGAACTATAATTATCGCCATACATTTAACAATGTGGGAGGTGAGCGAAATGTTCGTAAAAAAATATTGGAGTACCCTTCTTGTATTGGGGGAAGACTACTACATCTCTCCATCCACATGGATGTATTCCTTCACAAAAGGAGGGCGGCGTCAAGTTGGTAATAAATGGTGATGATATTGGGTCCAGATGGAATGGCATCTCTTCAGAAGAACTTCAAATACCTTAAAAGAATTCTCTCAAAATCAAACACACTTGGTCTCTAGAACATCAAATGTAGTTTGTTTTATTACAAAAATTGAAATGAAATAATATCAAGTATTGCAGATAAATGAGAATCATGAGTGTAATTCAGGTAGTGCTTAATTTTTTAGAATTTATAATTTTTAATGTGAGATACACACTAACCAATGTAAGTGTTATATTCTCTCAACCAATTCATGTTATAAAACCTAGCTTATTTCATATTTCTGGAAGTATACTTTGAGAATAGACTTCTTTGAGAGTTAAAAAGGGTATTAGCTGTTCATTCTCAGCAGTATTTTTGGAACACTACTATAGCTTCCTCCTGACTTCACTTTTTTAACATGGAAGAGGTTGGCAGCATTATCTCCATGTATCTTTGCTTCAAACATTATGAGATGTTTATTGTTGTCATACATTCAAAGTGTTAAAGATTGGGACCTTAGTCTTTAAAGGGTATTGTATAGTGAAGGGTCTTAATTATTCCTACTGGCAAATTGGTATATTGGTGTTGTGGTGAGTTTTCATTGGCATTTACAATGAAATAATTATATGAGTCATCATTGCCAACAATATTGTTTATTACAATAGCAGCTTTTGATGGCATAGCCATCATCATCAGTTGTCTGCTGTATGGAAGCCACAAAATTATTTCTTTCTACTGGCAAAAGTGACTCAGGACATCAACTGATGTCGCTGCATTGCCTCTGACTGGGAGGACCTCAGATTTGAGTCCTGACATTGGCTAGCCCCTAGTTAGATAGCTAGGTCAAATCCAGCTGCTGTCTAGAGAAGAATTCTAGTGGCCAGCTGTTCTGATCTGTAGTTTTCTGTGTTTTCTCCAACAAAAATCAGGCAAATGCCCGGGCAGTACCTGAACAAACAGGCCGTGGACCACAATCTTCCCTTCCTTTAGGTCCTTTCCTCACCCCTTACTTAAACACACTTACACTATCATGTTGGGAGCTTTGAGCTTTCCTGGCTCGGGTGGTGCTACACTGGTGGGAGATACCTGTTTGAGGATCAGCTTCATTGATGCTGAGCTTCTATGACCCAAAAACAACCAATTCAGTTTTCTAATGTAATTTATTATTAAAAATTATTGATGATTAAATTAGATTATTTATTTCATCCAAGTGGTTGTAACTTTGAATGTGGAACAGGTCATTTAATAAGCACATGTAAAACATACAAACTCTTACCACAAATATGTAAACATTACAAAGACAAATAGCTGAGGATTAGCAGCCGGGCATGAGACTAATAATTTTCAGACATAAAAGAAACACCAGTTAACACTTTATCAGGTATCCTTTGCCTCCGCAAAATTAAATCCTCTTTAGATTAATTTTTCTTATCTTATTTGCCCACAAAAGAATCTTTCTTATTCAAACTGGATCATGGATAACATATTTGAAATAATATATGACTGTATCAATACAATGTAATGACCATTACAACAATACTGATAACATCTAATGTAATGAACAATCATGGGAGAAGGGAACAAGATTTTGGTAGGATATTTTGCTTCTATGTCAGCGTTACTGCAATTAGATTAAAGAGATGCCAGATTTTTTGATGCAGTCACAACTTGAATGGTGAATATGAAATAGAAGGTCATGACAGAATGAGAAATTTTAATTCCTCTTTTCAAAATAAAAGTGTTGTGGTTTATATTTTCTATAGCTAAAATACAATTTAAGATTTAAATACATTAAATTCACACCAAAATAAATTTAGATAAGCATTAAATTATTATTATTATAACCCCATCGCCCTTGAAAGCATGAATGGAACACTATGTGTACTTAAGTGGTCCATAGTTTGCAGCATTCACTAAATTCTCATTAGTTTATTAAGTATTTACATCTTACATGTACTGTCTGAAAACTATTGAGATTTACTCAGTGTTCTTGAAAGATTTAAACCAGGTGGTTTAATAAATGGATGTAGGAATACATCTTTTCATTCACTATGAACTTGACCAAAATTGATTTGTGTACCTGTTTTGGTTGTTTTGTTGATCTTGACTTAGAGGCCATCTTGATTTAAGTCTGCTTTTTGGATTCAGTAGTTCTGTGCATCTGATAACATTGGATTATTCTCTATTTTAGGAAATGTATTATTTATTTTTAAATATTGGGTATTAATACAAAGAGACAACCAAAGGATTGAAGCAGCCCAAATAATGTATTTTAAATACATTGACTGCTTAATAACAGTTATCAATATGGCTCGGGTCTTGTTGACCTAAACATTCTTTGAAAAAGGTCTATAAAAAGACTTAAAAATAAGAGGAAAATGACCTAAAAATCTTTAAAAGAAAAAGGGGGAAATGACATCACTTTTTAAAAATACTCAAACATTTGTTTGAAAATATTTATTCAATGAATTTTACAATTTTTAAAAAAAATTGATTTTACATAGACTTATGTTTAATAGAAAGTCTTCATATTAGGAGAAAATGTAACCCTTCGATCCAGTCTTCCGACTGTTTTAAAGGGTCGAGGAATTTACTGAAGATCCATGTATTTTCCAGAGTTCGAAAAACAGTCCATTGCAGTAGTGAATATCATCATAAGCTGATGATATAATAAAAACTTTGTTTTTGTGAATCATTGTAAATTCATGAAACATTCACTAACAAAAAAATATGGAGTAAAAAAACAACAACTAGAATTTGAAAACTACACATATCTATCACCTACATGTCATGGTAAACATACATTTACAAATAAGATACGTCTACAATGCGCCAATGAAAAGACATATCATCACAATCCAAGCCCTGGTTATCACACCCTATACACCCTCAGGTCTAGCTCCAACATTGAGACACTTCGAACAATGTATATTGCAAATGTGCACTCACACCTAAAATATGCAATAATATTCTCAGAAATGCCCCTGAAATCACTCGCACATTTATTATCAAAAAAAGAATATTGTGAACAAAGGCCAGCATTCATAGCTGGAGTCTTGCAAACCCTTGTTCAATAAACTAAGGATTCTTTCTCTACCATGCATGTATATATTTGAAATAGTGGTCTTCACAAAGATAATTATCATGGAAAACAAAGACATTTTTACTTTAAATTTCGATATATACACAATTACAACACCCCTCAAAAGGATAACCTACATGTTCCCCACTCTCAAACTACACTTTATCAAAAAGTACCCTTATAGAGGGCATTACACTTTACAACAAACTAGGCAAAGATATTAAAGACATAAACACAATTCATACATTTAAAAGTAAATTGAAAGCTTTCCTGCTTAAGAACATGAACAACATTTCACTTCAGAAAAAAAACTTTCTTTCTGGATTCCCCAGACACTTAGGGGCTGCAGTAGGACTATGTGGACAAATTGAAAGAAGAAAAATACAGGTCAAAACTTGCCACCTCCTCACCATTACAAGTTTTAAATATAGAATGTACTAATATTGTATAATACCCTAATCTACCTGTAGCATTATTGTAGTACAATTTCTAGGCTAATGACCCCATCTTGATCTGATTTTGTTCAGTTTCCCAGGTCCCTTGAACAAATGTTGAGATGATCCCTTGTTTGCTCCTGAACAGTAATGTAACTTCGCTCTCTCCACCCGAGACATTATATTGACTCATCACACATGATTGTAATTGTATTGATTGTAATATTCAATAAATATTATTATTATCACAAAAATTTACAAAAACATGGAAGCATGAACAGAAACATGTTTATCTGTAACAAGTAGTTAATTTACATATCTGTTACTTTTTAACAAATACCAAAGTCTTATTAATAAATATGTTTTTCAGATTTTTGCCCTAATTTTTATGGGCTTGACTGCAGCATTCAGTAATGGTTTAGGGAGAGCTTCATGTAGTACTACGTGCATGAATTACGATTGTAAGTTCAACTTCAAATTTATAAATGCAAGCATTTTGGTATTGATAAACATACATACATGTATGTCTA